TCCTTCCTTCATTCTCTCTGTACTTGTTATAGCATTTAGCACTTTATGCTATTTTAATTTATACAACCATTTATCATCCATCAACCTCTAGTGTTCAGTTAAATTGGTCAATATCACGGTCTTTAAAAGTCATTCCAGAAATCTCTAAGTGAGTCTTGGGGGCAGCTTATCCACCATGTTTCATGCCTATCCCACTTAGATTAATTAACTTCCCCTATCTTTTATACAATTGTTTCCATAAAGGCAGAATTTCTATTTTCTTTGACTTTGAGCATAGCATTCAGTTCCCAAGTTCCACACCACTAAAAACACCTTAGAGAAAGAAAGTTGTATAATCTCTCAAAAGCCTGGAGAAGGTATAGGGCAAGGTCTCAGGCAGATTCGGACCTGGTTCCCAAGTCATACAGAGGAAATATGTAATTCAGCAAGTAATTCTCACCAAACTTATAGTAACATGACTCACAACAGGAAAGTCGTTCGATAAAATATGCTGAATGGGAAATGATTCAGTGAAAATATTCAGGACAAGCAATTACTGAGTGAGGGTATATTACCCACAGCAGACAATTACTCAGTGAAAATATTTCAGAGAGCAGGCAAATATTCAATCAAACATTTGACAAGGAGAGCAATTATTCAATAAACAATCACATAATTATACCCAGTGGGGCGTGCTTGCCACACAGCATACAAATCATTTACAGACGCTAGGATGATGTTCTGTCTGTTGAAAATATGGATAATTTATGGTCTCCGTTTGTCATTGCTGAGATAATTTTATTTCAGTGTTACTTTCAAGTAAACAGCATTAAAAATATATACAACCATACTAAAAGTTCAGTTTTCAAATAATCCTATTTCAGTTGGGTTTTTCTTCGGTTTGTTTGTTTAGCTTGTTTATTTGTTTTATCTCCTCCTTCATAGCATTCTCTTCCTTTTTCTCTCTCCATCTTTTATTTCCACCTTCTCTGGCTGCTTCTCTCTCTGACTCACTTTTTTCCTTCTCATGGTACATTTGAAAGTGGAAGGCCAAATATTACAAAGCCTATGTTTATTATTAAATCTTCTCTCTGTAAATCATTCATGAATACATTTTTAAGAAGAATACATTGCCAGCAGCTATTTACCATATATTGACAGGTTGCAGGTATAATTTGTAAGACCTGCCTGAATGTAACTATACTTTTAAGAAATTTGTAGGTTAAAATGGAGACAGTGAATAATAAATCAATAAGCCCATACTTTAACCAGTGACACCTACCAACTGTGTATTCCCTGCCAGACTTTATGCACAGAGATACATAAGACAACTCCTTTTCTCAGGAGTGTGTGGATGAGGGGCAAAGACCGACCCACAGTCCAAACTATGGAGACACTGAGAGTGGTACACAGAGAACAGCTTCACATAACAGAACTAAGAGCAGAGTTTAAAACATGATGCTTGGATGTGCCAGAGCTTGCACTAAGTATGGGAGAATTACAGATATTTATGGAAGCAAATAAAGGTGGGAAAAGAATCCTAGGAGATGAAACTGGATGATATGGAGGCGATGTGGGAAACAGGTCCCTGCCACAGCAGGTGATGTGGGAGAGAGAGGAGCTGGTGTAACACTGCACACTGGGGATCAATACACCACAGGCTAGTAGTCTTCCTTCATGTGCATTTGAAAGGCTTGTGGTATATGTGGTTTCCTTTTTCTTTGTTTTCTGACTTTGGAAGGAGGATTAAAGAGTTGATGTCCCTCCTCTACATGTATATTCAGGAAGGAAAGTTCTTGCTTTCACACATGAAGGAAAGGATTCCAAGCATGGAGAATAGCACGGGAAATACAAGAAAGGTTACAGAAACCCAAGACCACAGGTGTGCAAAGCACTGAGGAGAGGGGAAGACAAGGTGAACACCAGTCTCAGGGACAGCCTTGGAGTGAACAGGGCTTGTGGGTCGGGGCTCAGGAACCCTGTGACGTTCTAGGAACTGCTGTGCTTCTTAGGGTCCAACCATGACGGCTACCATGATGTTTGTTTAATGACACACAGAGTCTGAAGAGGCCTCTAGTGGACATCAAATGATTTATCCAGCACCCTACTTGGCAAGAACCTCTCAGGCTTCTCCACGTATGTGAGAGCAGTGAGCCACATCGCTGGCTCCAGGGCCTCACGGGACAATCAGGGTTTCCACTCTTGAAAACACATACTTCCCTTCAAGGTCCCAAGAAACTACTACTTCCTGGGGTCCTGGGGAACGAAACTCCCACTGTCCTCCTGGAGTAGAGAAGAAGCAAGCTGGCAGTGCGGGACAGTCTTCCTGCACAGGGTGACTGAGAAGGGCCACGTAGGATGCCAGGCCATGTGAGAGCACCTGAGGCGAGGAACAGTTTAACGCCCTAATCCAGCCACTGGGAAGCCATCTCGTCATTCTCTCAGCTGTTTGTCTACGCCAGACAATACAATTTCTTTTTCCTGCCTAAACCTCCATTGGATTTTGTGTCTTTTGACACCTGAAGAATCTTGTCACAAAAGCTGAAAATCTACAATGGTTTCTAATGTGACTAAACCATTAAACAATGGAATTATCAATAATGGTTTCATTATCCAGGAAAGGTCCTGTACAGTTGCAAAGCTTAATAGCCTTAATTCATGTGAAAAATAGATACTATTTGCACACTTCAATTTTTAAGGAATTAAACTATTTTCAGGGTACTATAAGTCATGAATGTTGGGGTACAAGCACAAGCTTTCTAACTCCATATGCAAAGTGTCCAAGATATAATATAAAATTATTGAAAATATAAAGAGCTACAAAACTAAAATTAAAAAAAAAGATAATTAGGCAATACCTAAACCAAGATAACACTGATGTTGGAATTATCTAACAAAGACTTTAAGGTTGTTGTTATTAGCGCTTGAATGAGAAATCATTAACACTTTTGAAATAAATTTTAAAATAGTACATTTTGGCAAATAAATAGAAGATATAAAGAGAGGCTGAGGCAGGAGGGTGCCAAGTTCAACCCCAGGCTGGACAACTTAGAGACTTAGTGAGGCCTTGTCTCAAAATTTAAAAAATTGTAAAGGGGCGGAGATGTACAGAATTTCAGTGTAAAGATCTGGGTTTAATCCTCAATACTTCCATGAAGAAGGAGGGGCAGCAGGGGGAAAGTAGAAGAGGGAGAAGAGGAGGAGGTGAGGGAGGAGTGGGGAGAAGAGGAAGAAGAAGAAGGAGGGAGAGGAAGAGGAGGAGTTGGAGGAGGAGGGAGTACCCATGCGTCATCTGCCATAGAGACTGGCCGTGCCCCAGATCATGTTTATTACATCAGCCCAGGGCCCAAGTTAAGGACCACACGTACCACAGCACTCCCCAAACCTGTGAGAGGTATGTAAGATAAATGAAAAATAAACCTTGTGAGGTGTGTGTGTGTGTGTGTGTGTGTGTGTGTGTGTGTGTGTGTGATTTCATACTGCGGCATAATTTAGCCTACCCTATAATGCAATTGTGTCCTTTAAACATTGCTGTCAAGGAGGTTGGAAATTTGGACCCAAACCCATATTATTCCATGTGAAACCGACAGAAAAATAAGATCCATAACTGTTCTACACGTCATTGCTGAGGGAGCCTTCTCTTAAGAGACACCTACAGTATATGTTTAGTTCAGTGTGCCTACTTAGAAGCAAACAACTGGTTCCTTCTGCAATGTGTAGTGTAAAAAGAAACCAGGAGAGTTTGAATTTCCAACTTTATTAATAATCATCATCATAGGTTTCAACTAAGATTATTTTGAATCTATAAATTAAAATTATATAATATTCTATACTCAAATACAATTAATAACTTTCATGTAGTACATTCCTTCCTTGTCAGGCAAAATTGAGCAAGCTAGTTTAGATACCTAACCAAATTATATTGTAAAGCCATTAATCTTAACTATTGGGCATTCACTCAAAAATGTACTAAAAACTATGATTACCACTGTGAGAAAGTAGGAACTAAGTAAATAACATAAAAACAAACAACAATGAAAAACAGCAGACATCAACATAATCTCCCTATCATTTCTGAGGTCCTAGAAACATACGGTCTAATAAGTCACAAGCGTTTTAATCTAATTGAATTTGCTTGCTTGTAGACTAAATCAATGCATAATCTTATTTGGTTTATCAAGAGTTTGGACTGAGTTTAAAAGGCTTGGGGGTGACATTTAACTCAGTCGTCCATGTCCATTTATTTATTTAAATGCCTTTTCTAAAATTCATGACAGTGTAGTACCCAAGAATTGCTATGAGCCAGCTCGAGTGGTAACTGCAATGTTTGCTGGAAACGCAATGCCTATTTTAAGGTCCGTGGTAACTGTGTCGGCATTACATTTCACAAATTAATGACTTAATTATTCATTCCTTTACTTATTTTAATTACCTGATTAGCAGAATGATGTTGACTCATGAATTACTTAAATCAAAAGGATAGACTGTAATTGTCATTCATCAATCAATTCTATTTTCCCTCTCAGGCAGATTAGACTCTATTTAATGCATCCTCCCTCTCAAGGGAGGAGAGGAATTGCTCATTCTCCCTAGTCCATGTTCGCTAATAATTTCTTCAATAGTTATTCCAATAAAATTTTATCCAGGCATATTAACAATGGGAAATTTTGTGAGCTTTCTTTTTAAGTGCACAACTCCATTATTATGGGAACCAAAAGGAAAAAATATAGAGCTGTTTCAGGACATTATTCACTAAATTTTACATCTCTAAATTGTTTAAGCCAGAAACGCATTATCATCACATCACTCAGTTACCTTCATTTTAATCCATGGTCTTTAAATTATATCAATTAAGTTTTATTTCAAAACTATGCACATTAAAATACTGAGCAGTAAAAACAGTCATGATTCTTTTAAAGAATAGTTTCATGGATGTGAATTATAAAAGTCACATGTTGTCGGGCGTTACTAGGAGACCATCGTGGTTTGCAAATGGAATGTGTTTGGGTATCAGATGAAGTCACTATGGCTCCTGGACTCCAAAGAGGTATTTACTACTCATGAGAAGGTGAGGAAGTCGGAGACCCCTTAAGGAGAAAGTCCACAGAGGAAAAGGCAGGGTGTCACTCAAACACGCTGAAGTGAATTGGTCACTGGAAATGAGGTGAGTGTGAGACAAGCTTCTAAGACTATTTCAGCCACAGGTACTGACCGATCAGGGTGGACAGAGGAAGTTCCTAGCTAATATGATCAGAACAACCCGGGAACACCATCCTACCTTGAAAGGGAGTTTGGGCAGATAAAAAGAAAAATAAATAGTAGACTATTGGGCATAAACCCCAGGAGGAGTAATTCCAACCCAACTTGAAATACAAGAGCCCCAGAATTTAGTGGAGGCTCCGGGCGCTGACACCTCAGATGAGCCCCACAGGAGGACTACAGTAACCCACGGGTTACAGGGAAGATGGTGCTCGTGCATTCGTGGGAGGGACAACATGTGTCACCCTACAAGTTCTAAATAACTAAGACTTGTAAAACAGCTAGTTTTATTCAGTGATTTTTCATGTCTGGTACAGCTTGTGCAACACAGAACAGTCTCTGAGTAGTTTAGTTTTAAGCATTATTTTCATCTGTTATAGCTATTTTTCCATGCTTTTAGAATCTTTGAATATTTCTTGCTTACTTTCCAAACAGTTTTTAAAATTTATCATTTGTTTCCCACTGATTATACATGCTGTGCTCAAGTCAGTAATGCCTTTATAAATTTTATATTTTTCTCTCTTCAGTTTTTAGTTAATGTTTTCAACTGCTGGTTAATGCATTAGTAACTTCTATATATCCTGGAGTGCTTTTTATAATTTATAAAACTCTTTTTTGCTTTCTATTTTACATTTTTATTTAAAATTCATATTCATGCAGTGACATCAAATTTTATCTTTTACCATTATTGTATGCTTCATTTATATTTAAGCAACACTCCTCATTTAAAAAAAAATAACTAACATTTGTCAAAAGGAAAATGACTTTATTTTTAATAGATTTTTCTAAAAGGGTAATCAGATTTTAGATGAGGATGTAAAACAAAATGGTAAGACAGAATCTATCATTCAAATTCTTATAGTGAGCATCATCACCCTTTCATCCTATTTGCCCTAAAATATTGTCAGTACTTCTCCCCAAATTCGATACAAATTATTTTTGCTTTTTATGAGTGTGTATTTGCCACACGTGATGATCATGTCCCACCTGAAGGAATTCGTACCTGTACGTATCTTAATTTTTCCCATCCCCTCCCTCCTTTCAACCTTTTATCCCCTCCCCATTCGTAAAAGCTTGTTTCCATTGTTTCATTTAATCCTCCTTTCTGATCCTTTTCCCCTCACCCTCTCCCCTCTCCCTGTTCCTTGTTCCCACTTTCATTACAACATGCCCTGGATCAGCTGAGAGGATATAAAACAAGTGATTCAAAATATGACTCCACCAAGTGCAACAGTGAACACCTGTAAGCCTAGCACTCTCAGAGTTTATACATACACCTTGGGCTATAAACCTAATTGTCCCATTCGAAAACTTCCACTAATGATCACTTTTCAGTCTTTTTTTTTTTTTTCCTAATTTATCCACTTCCTAGTCATTTGTCCTACCACCTTTTCTGGTTTTACCACTACAGAAGTGATGTCCTGCTGTGTTTCTCAGAGAGTGCACAGATGTGTCACGTACCTATAAACATTCACAGAAGGTAAGAAGGAGCCCCGTACACCTAAAACATTCAAAACCACAAAACTCAATTCACAAATACAGAGACCTGCCTGCATCATGATTTCTTAATTACTTAAGCACTAACAATCTTGTTTAAAACATTTTTAATGTACCTCATCTTGTGAGCCTCATGGTTTAGCAACACAGCACACTAGAGAGTGTCGGTTGCTTCCTGAGGCTCCACAGTTGGCAATCATATGACTGACTGGCATCAGCAATGAGTATTGTATCACATAGGACCAGCCTGGGAAATTTGATCCAAATTCAGGGTGTGCTTTCTGCTGAGTATATACCACTTTTGCACTATTGTGACATGAAAACTTATAAGTCAAACCATCTATCTCTGTTCCATAAAAAGAAGCACTGGCTCTCAAATGGGTAGAGGATAGGAATGGAAGAGGTGACGACATTGGGATGCAGGATTTATGGTCAAATGTGTCCAAATCTGTGGTGTTCTGTCAAGTCATGGGATACAGAGTAGCCAGTGAGCATGCTTACGAGACTAACTGTATGAGCCCCTGTATTAGTTATATTTTACTGAGTAACACATTACTTCCAAATTTAGCCACTTAATGCTGGGAGTGGTGGGGCTCACCTGTAATCCCAGCGCTCAGGAGGCTGAGGCAGGGGGATTGCTATGAGTTCAAGGCCATCACGTAAACTGACTACTCAATGAGCTCAAGGCCAGCTTGAACAACACAGCAAGACCTTGTCTCAAACAACTTAGTCACTTAGAACCACATGTATTTATGTGTGCATTTAGGATATGTAATCTGTGCGGCTTACAAATCGGGGCACAACTTGGCTGAGTTCTCAACTTCCATTTTTCGAGGGATGCAATTAAGAAGTCGTCAGCCAGGGCTACCAACTCAGCCAACGGCTCGAGTGATAAAGGCTAATTCCAAGGTCATGCACAGCTGTTGTGTTATTGGACGAGGACTCAGTTATTTGGGAGCTGTTGGCAGAGTCCTCTTTGGATCTTTGTCACACAGACCTCTCTGGAGAGCATCACACAGCATGCTTTTGTCAGAGGCAGCAGAAGAGAAGGTAACAGAGCCCAGAGAGGAGGTGCTAGCAGACTCCCATGAGTCATTCATGAAAGTCACGTTCCACCACTTCTACCTCATTCTACTTGTGACAAGATGGATTGTACCCAAGAGAAGGATTTGCACAAGGATGTGAGTCACAGGACTGTCTCTCTGTCTCTCTCTCTTGCCCTCCTTAGTTTCTGTCTTTAGTTTCTTCCAACAACCAACTCATTCGTTGCCTATTTAAGTCTTCTCTGAAAACAGAATGAACCTAAAAAGAAAATGTGAATCAGCCCATACAAAATTGGTTCACGGAAAAGTAAAAAGCCTTGGAGTCTTGCATATGTATTTGGTTTTGAGGAGAAGAGCTAAGACAGGTAAGAAAAATGTGAACTATACTCATGCTTTTCCACTTGGCCAATGACAGAGCTCATTAAAAACAGGACATAAAATATATCTGAACCTACCTGATCAATGTACAGAAATTCATAGTCAGAGTCGCTTCATACTCAGTCTCTCAATGGAGACCACAAGGTGCTATTCACTGTTGTGACCCACATTACTGGTGTGAAAATGACCCAGAGACACTGTGATGAACACCAGAGTTGCTTGTTGAAAAGTACACTCCTTATTTCTATACTCCTGTCCCCAGATACAAATCTTTCACTGTTCAGAATAAACTGATACACAAAAGAGCATTGCACTGGTTTATCTATTGTGCACAGTCCCAGAATCTGGACCATCTTTCTTCAGGTTTACCATGACCTGGCAGCTACCATCATGCTCAGATCACCTTTAATATTTGTGTAAAATCCCAGTGGGAATTTATGGCAATTCAGGCACAGAAAAAAATATTTCCAACGCATACAAGAATAGGCTTTAATTTCATTTGAGGAGGTAGGAGTGATTCCCTGTCTCCACACATAGCTCATTGCTAGAAATGTTATTTTGCTTAGAGTAACACTGAAAAGTCTTCCTTTATGAGTGAGAAAGTCCAAAAAGCAGTTATTTTTTTTCAAAGGCTCACATATATTTGGGCTTTTCCCTGAACCAGAACTCTGGCCTGAGTCCTCTTGCTGAAACAAAAATGATGGACTTCTCCCCAGTCTCCCTACCTAGCAGGCGTAATAGGAGACACGGGACTCAGGCCCACAGAGATCTCCTGTGCAGCCCTGGACTGGACACCAGATTCTTGCTGAGGAGTTTGCAGGTTCAGAAAGGCCCACTGGACTGTGGAGTGCTTCTTTCAGCCTGCTACCTGGGATCTGCTGTGCATTCGGAAGTTCACCGCATCGTATTCTGAGTGAACATTACTGTACTTAACACTCTACAAATCCCTCAAAGAATTTCAAAATCACTCGGCGTTCCAGTGTCTAATCCCAGCCCTACGACTGGATGGTAAATGCTGCTGTGCCTCCTTCGCATCACTTACACTGAGTCCTGACCCACTAGCTTCTTGTGATTCCCCATGCCACGCCTACTCTGACTCAGTCTTACACTAGATGACTCTGCGATCACTTTCCCCTGACCCTTTCACATTTCTGCTTTCAGACTCTACTTCAAGCTCTCTGCCAACATGCTATTAAAAGTCTTATCTCTAGAAATCCATTCATTTTATTCAAGGCACTGAACTTAATTTATTTGATTATTCCTTTGGCCTCCCATTTCTCCAGCAGACTGTAATCTTCACAAGGCCATGTCTGCCTTATTCATTATTATAGATCCTCTGCCCGGCACATCGCTCAATAACTATGACACATGTTGAATGTTGGATCACTCTGACATTCAAAGTGATTACAACTTATGCTTTTGAAAGTTTCAGTATAATCAGAGTATATATTTTATATGAAAATTTCAAAGAGGAAATACTGAGGTTGAATCGCAAGGTGATATATTATGTAATCATGAAAACGTTTTAAATGTATTAAAAGGAAACACATACAGAGTCTTATTTATTTATTTGTTTAAACTCTCATGAATGTTGTTGTGGTTTGTACTTAGAGCCCTCCCCCAAGCCTCAGGTACACACAGGTGGGACATTTGGGTTATAGAGCTGTGATACTCTTAGTGGATTCATCCCTGATGAGTTTGTAGCTAAGTGTGATGTTGGCAGGTAAAGCCTGGTAGGAGGCGGTGGGTCACTGGGGGTGTGCTCAGGAAGGGTTTATCTCCCCTACTTCCTCCCTTCATCTCTCTCACTGATTTCTGCCTCCCCTGCCATGGACTGTTTCTCCTCTGTCATGCTGCTCTGTCTTAGAGCCAGCTGAATCTGGACTGAAACCTTTACCAACTGTGAACCAGAATAAATATTTTCTCATTTATGGGGTGGATGTTGGGTATTGTGTCTCAGTAATGAGAAGGTGTCTAAGACAAATGGAGCTGCCATCTAGGCTTTAGGAAATATCTCTAAATATCATCAAACTCAATACATATTGATGAAGTAGAAATGATATATTGTGTTGATAGTACTTCACCACTTGTCTCCATCATCCAGTTTCTCCTAAGAGGAATTACAGGGAGTGGCATATAGTAAATCAAGTTGAAGATGTTCTGAGTTCAAATTCTGGCTCCATTCATCAGCTACATGATCTTGATGAAGTCACTTTGCTGGACCTCAGTTTCCTCATAGGCAAAAGATTTTGGCAAAACTCATGTAAGATGAAGAATGCAAGAATGTTTTATATTACAAAATGACAAAAAGTAAGATATATTGCTCTTTCAGGACAATGGTGAAAATAACCAAAAATTTTGCCATTTCTTCCCAATGTTCTTGCCTAAAACTTTCATTTTTTTTTTTTTGGCCCTTTTTATATTTAGGGCCAAATTCTTTGTGTTTAAATACCAGCATAAATGCCTTCTCTCTCTACAGGATTTATGAAATGCAAATAGTAGATAAAGATTTGCTCTATCCTGGCTCACCCTAAAATGAAATGTTTGCATCTTAAAATCCCCCTGGATTAATTTGTGTGGATGAAGCTTATATTAATTTTCACCTTTGTATTAAATAGCATATGAAACATTATGGATTGATCCTGACTTTTTTCTGCAGCCCACTCCCAAAAAGACACTTGGCCCCATCTCAACCTATTCAGGAAGCTTTCTGACGTCATGAAAACTTTTGTTAGTTGTAAACTTTATATAGAACGGAAAATAAGAGATATAGTTCACTTCTCAGAACATTTCTGAGAACATTTTCAGAACAAAGGAAGACATGGGAAAACAGTGAAACAGTGAAACAGTGAAAATGTTACCAACAAATCCCTGCTAAGTTTTTCAAACTACCAGCCTGGTTGGCTGGATCTTTGGAACCCCTCGCAGACACCCCATCAGGCTTCCTATTCCCACTCCCTTAACCTTCTTTGCACTCCACCATGACTTTTCAGGCCTGCTACTTTCACTGCCCTTGGCAAGAGGAAACTGACCAACTAACCCAGTCGTGAGCCCACAGCTGACATGATTGATGAAGGCATTAGGATAAGGAGGACAGGTTATTGGCTCATCAGGAGCCTGGTACATGCATTTATGAGTCAGCCCTGCTTCTCTCTGACACAGACAAAATCTGCCAAAAGAATCCTCTTTGGGGGAGTTTGACTATGAGACATTCAGAAGACGCTAACCTTCAGGAATGGGAAACAGAAGCTGAGAGCCAGAGACAAGAAGCAGCACGCAGAAACCACGGGGAGGCACAAGGCACAGAAGTAAACAGCAGTGATCGTCAATAATAACAGGAGGAGGAGAAACAGGCAAAGCACAGCCCGGTTCCTCCGGTCAGTATAAGCCTTCCTGAGGCAATGATGACTAGTCCTTCCTGGTACCCAGGGTTGCTGCCAGACCAGTAAAGCTACTCTTGTATCCCAAAGGACATTCTAAGCACTCAGGGACTGCACATTTACTGTTTTCTTTATTCTCTATGCATCCTTAAAAGAAGGACCTCATTGCTAGAGGTCCCTGGAGCTGCCTGCTGTCCTGCAACAGCAAGAGCAAAGCTCACATTATTAGTGTCCTGTATTAGCTTGATCTCCTCACTCCTTGTCCGCCAGTTCCAGTAACTATCTTGGTACTTCACCTGGTAGAAGAGTCCCGTCTTGTTCTCAAGGACTGCATTCTACCTTCTAGCCCCTGATATTATGATTATCTTCCTACTACTTTCCCCTTACTGCTTCCAGATTGCTCTACTGCCAGCTGGCTTGCTGCACTCTACCTATCACCAGCTGCCAACTTCTCCGCACTCTTGTTCCACCCACCTGGAAGCAGACTTTGCAGATGGCAAAGTGTAGGATCATCTGCTGGTGTCTGGCCAGGAGATGATGCAGCCTCCTCCTGTCACCTTTTCTATACCTCCAGCCTTGGCTGCTGTATCCTGCGAGCTCTGCTTTTGACCTGAGCTGGGCTGACCTACCTGGGGCCAGTGTACTCCTACACTACCTGCCTGTTATTCTGAGTGTCACGCTGCTCACTCAAAGTGAGTTCCCTCTGCCTTTTGGCAGGTGACTGCCTAACTGGTCTGTCTGACATGTCAGGTCCCTTGGCCCTTGCATATACCCAGTCAATCACTGTGTGAATTACAGGAGACTTTGGGGCCATGTCCACGCTGGAAAAGCATTTAAGTAGAATACCTAAGTCTAACCTTCTTCACCAGGTATTCACAATCCTCTCCCTCTGACACCCTCTGCCTAACGAGCCCACTGCCTCCGCTAAAAAGGTTTTGGGAATGAATTTCTAAAGATATTTCATGTGTTCCTTTTTCCTTGCTCTCGAGTGTTATGTTCTGTTACATTACAGTATCCTCTGACTTCTTCTATTTACTCTAATAATATGCAAGTACCATTTAATCCAACAAAGTTTCAAGTAACTACCATTGCCAGACACAATACCGGTGGGTCATCATTGGAAGAGATATAAAACTTCTTGCACTTGAAATGTTTATAGTATAAGCAAGAGAGTTGAACATTAGGCCAAGAAATGATGGGGAAACATTCAGCAGGGAGGCCACATAGAGGAGGACCCTGAATTCTACCTGCACCATGCTAAGAATAAACAGGAAAACCATGAGAAAGGGGTAGACTCTTGATGTAAATCCTCCTTTAGTGATAAATAGCAGTTTCATAATGGTAGGAATGAGGAAGCCATTGTAGACAAAAGAAGTTACAGGAGAAAAACTAGAAATGCATGACACAGATATTGGTAGAGAAGGGGGTCAAGGTATATATGGAGATGGGAAGACCAAAAAATCATTATCTCTGATAGTCAATGCTCTATGTTGAGAGAAAGTTTTTCCTAAGTCTTCTCCCTGCTGTAATTTTTACTTCTTCCTTTGCTTTCAATAGTAATAATATGAGAAGGGGCCTGGTGGCCCCAATCCTGGACTCTCCAGAATTAAGTACAAAGTGGGGTGACCTCCTCTTACCCAGTGCAGGAAGTGGGGTGACTTTCTTTTACAGATCCAGGAAGTTGGGAAATTTCCTTTGCTTTGAGTCTTTAATTATAAGGGTGAGCATGCTCCTTTTTCAAAATAAGCGAAGGTCTTTTCAGGCAAAACTCACGTCAATATTAAAAGTGATATACAAATTGAAACAGAGGCGATTTTAGTCTTAATCAAGAATGCATTAAGAAAGGCTCTCATGAAACTTGCTTGGGATTTTTCCTGGTACTACAGGCATTGTCTCCCATATATTTTCATCTTAGTGCTATTTTCAACACAGTTTTCCATCTAATAAGACAGTTAAGTGCTGATAATCAATCATAACCCTGTGCTGAAGCCACAGCTCAGTTACTTAAGGAGAAGGGTTACCGGGCAGCTGCTGCCAGAGCTTTTATTAAAAGAGATGGTAATAACTTGCTCCCCTGGCACAAAACAAGCCTACTGTACCAGCCCAGACAGCTTCTAAATAAATGTGGATTTGCAACTCGTAAGGATAAAATTAAAACCTGAACATTCTGTCACACCAGCATTATTTATCAAAGTGACACTGTGATCATTTTTCTTATAGCCTAAAATGGCATATTGATGATAATTACTTTAATCTATTTTTTAGTACATCATGAGATGCTTGAATTGCTGATGTAATTTTGAAGTTAATCTTTATTTATAGTCATAAGCTTCCTATGGTGTAAGGATTGGTCATTCATAAAAATTCAAGCAGAGGATCTATTCATAGGCTACGCCCATAAGGAACAGATCCTCAATTTAGAAAGAAGTAGAACAGGAAATAGCACTTGCAAATCTCATCTCAAATTCTTATGCTCCTTTGTAGATTATCCTTTATGTACATAAAGTCAGTTGCTCCTTTTATTCACAGAGGAAGGCAGATCTCTCCTGACTGGCTAACTCTATAACAAGCTCGTCCGTTTACCATTTCTTTACCATTAGCTCATTGTACATTCGGTTTGTATGTTCTCTCAGCCGGAAATGGGAAGCTAATAGAAATACAGCATAAATATAAAGGAAACTAGGGTGTAGACACATCTGAACTGGTTTCTTCTTTATTGAACCCACTGACAAATGTAGGTACACGATAATTATGTCCTGAGAGAATGAGCAAGACTCGGCCCATTATGACCCACTGGGAATGTTGTGACCTAAAAGAGTTCTTACACTTTCCAAGAAGTGAAGAGCCTTACACACTGGGGTGGCTGTCTACAGCACAACACTGTGGTCATAAAAACAGATCACAAATCATACAGACATGACTGTGAATAGCTGTGAGACCCGGACATTTTTCAATCTCTAATCTCATTAACTATGCAACAAAAACAGTCACATTTTGGTGAATAGTAGTAAAGATTAGACATTATATATACATGGCTAGAAAACTTGCTATGATGTATAGGCACTACATTCATTCGCTCTACAAATACATTGATTACTTCCTATAAAATAGGGACTATTTCAAGTAAGGAAATGCAGAAAAAGTATCTCCTCTCCCCAGCGGGAATGTACACTGTGATTCTATGTTAGGTAGAAAAAGAAATCCAAAGAAAAAGTGACCAGAGTGAAGAAAAAGAAAGTGTTAGTACTGTTAGAGATCAGAGGTATGGGAGGCTTCTCTCGAGAGCTACATTTGAGAAGATACCTTAGTTCCGCAAAGAGCAGAGCCTTCCAGGTGTGGAGGGAAAGTCCAATGCCCCCAAGGAAGGAACACAGGTACAAAGGACTAACGCTCAAAAAAAGGAGGACAGAGACACAGTCGGTTGCCAAACAGTAGAGAGTTTTAGAGGTGGTGTAATGATTTCAGGGATTTTTCTTTCCAAAGATTAAAACAGCATTGGAGCTTTGAGAGGAAAGAAATGGCATGATTTTTCGTGGTTTCTAAGAACAATCCTCGGCTGCTTCATGAGGTTAAGGTTACAGCTTAAAATGGCACATGAATGATAACTGCTGTCAATGGCACCACTGAATGGCACTTTTCCTTGGGCTTTTTTCCTTAGACATAAGTCGCTTCTGCAGACTTCCTCGGGCCTAGGCCGTACTTGGCCACCCCGGCTCCCCTTGGCCCAGATGAAGGACAGAATATGCAGATGCCGCAGCCAGGAAGTCAAAGTCCAATTTGCTTTCCCCAGGCAAGGAAGGCAGAGGTCTTGGCCCAGCCAGGGAAGAAACAAGCAGAACTTAGCTGTGGACTCACTGTCTCCCTCCGCCATGTGCCTTGCTGTGAAAGACTAAGTCATCTGCACAGGGGACACGGTGACGCGAGCAGATGGGTCCCTCATCTCCTCAGAGCTAGCTTTGAATAAATCCTTTCATTCCTCTTTACCGAAATAAATGGCCTCCCTTGATTTGATGGGTGACACGCGAAGGAATCTGAACGTAAGAACCTTCTAAGTGGCCCGTTTCTTAGAGAGGGGATGAAAGAAGCAGGAAATCTGACTGCAGATGACAGTGCAGCTTGTCCCCATCTACTGTTTCCATTTGGTAAACACAAAGCCCGGGTCAGAAAGGCTGAGTGACTTGCTCCCATTTACACGGTTGGTTGGTAGAAAATCCAGCACTCTAATTGACGGGTAAGTTCCCTAACCTCATGCTTCTAATTACCACATGATGGTATCATCCCGTTTGAAGGGATGAATTGCCTAATCTTAAAGAGGTTAAGTGGTTTATTCGAGGGCACGCCTCGACCTACTGCAGAACCACAATGAGAACCAAGATGGCCGGTGTCCTCGACAGCGGAGTTTCCACACTGCCACCACTATCCTGTGTCTTAGATTTCCCACTCACCTACAGAAAACAGTAATCTTGAAACCGGGGCATGGAATTAATGCAGTTAACATTTCCAGCTAGTAGAAGATTTCATTATTTAAGATTAACTTGAATTAGAAAGTTATTTCCACAATAATCATCTTCCCTATAACCTCATCGTATCACTTTCTGAAAAAGGTTTCAGGGCTACACACATTAATAATGCAGTCACGATGCTAGCTATATAAGTTACAATAATGCCACAAGTAAATTTAAAGGTTAATAAATATTTCCATGGTGGTGACAACAGGAAAAACAATGTTTTCAATGTAGAAATTATCCTTACCATTACTCTGCTATTGTGAAAGCAATAAGAGCTTTGGAGTTCTCTGGGAATGTTTCCACAACTGCGTCTGCCCCAGAGCTGCCTGAGAAATCTATTGCAAATGCCTGTATAAAAAATAATTAACCTAAGGAGGGTAAACAAGGGCAAGAGCATTTCCCCTGGTGGACACAAACATTAACATTTGACTCATGGTAACGAGGTGGCAGTGACAGCCTACTCACGGCAAGACAAGCTTCTGCTTTTGCAGTTCAAATGCACCTGCCTCCAACTTCCTCTCCCCATTCAAAATTCACTGTTTTTTTGGTTAGTAAACAACACAGGAATCTCCAAGGCAACAACCTCAATATCAAACTGGCAATGACACCTCTGAGTTTGAGAATTTGCAAAATGAAATCTGAGTCTTGTGGGCCATCCTGTCCTTTACAAAGGAAAGACTTTCCAGGGACTTAGGTGGTCAGTATCCCAGAAATCTAGTGACAGCTGGAAATTACCAGTCAAACCATTGCTGTGATGACCCACAAATAAATGTATATTCAAAGGATATATTACCTTTTAATTTCTCATATAAAATTAAAAGCCAAAGCAATTGAATATACAAACTAGATTAAACAATTGGAATTAAGGCTACAATCTCATTTTTAATGTTTCCATCTCATTCCTGCAATCTTTTAATGTCCTTCTTGTATTTGCTTTTGCTCTAACAGAATAAAAGTCTGTAATACTATTCAGTTGACTTTCAGGAACATCAGTCCATAAGAACTCTGTCTCTACCTGCGCGCAATACGTCAGAATGGTACCCATGGCCACTGGTCACGCAGCCACCTTTCCCAAGAAGTTCTGGAAGGGAATTACAATTCCAGTGGCAAACAGCCCATGTTAGGCAGCAGACAGCCACAAGTCTGATAGACAGAAAGGGCGAGTGCAAAATAGCAGGCAGTGAAACAAAGACACCAGAGTGTACTACATTTATCATCATTTCTTAGGTCTCAGACCCAAAATGATCCTATAGAGAGCAATGACATCTTAAGATTACACACTGTGCACCGTCCTTCTGACACCTGGCCGCCTGGCCATCTAACCCCAAAACAAGACACACTGGCTCTCGTAGCCTACAGACCAATGATATTAGGAAGGGAAAAGTTCTTTAAAGATCCTCCTGCTTTGGGCTGGGACCTGGCTTAAACTAACAACTTATCTTTTATAAGTTTCTCACATGAAAACCCCTGAGGGAACACTGACCATCAAAAGAGGACAGAAACACATTTCACAATTCCTAAGTAACTTATAAGTAAAATAGTAAGGAGCATCATAATTGCCACAGTTCCCTAGACCCCAGAAGTAATTCCTGGGTACATAAAAATGTATCCAAACCTACACTGGGCTCAGATGCCTTCATGGCACGCAAGTCTTCTCTCTTGAAGGCATCGTTCTATGTCTACTTTACAATAAATTGGTCCTAGACTTCTGCACCAGCCCATTGTCTTAACTGAATTCTTCCACCAAAGGCACAAAGCCAAAGAGGAAGGAAGTAAGGGTCCGGTTCTTCACTGCACCAGAACCCGGCTTTGAGGTACCACCTATGTGTATACCCTAAAAAAGGAAAGAAACCTAAAAGTTGTTAATAATGAAGTGAAAACATCTTTTAAATGATTTCCTGAGAGAATAAGAAATCAATGAATACTTAAAAGCTGAAAATAAGAGAAAAAGAAGACACCTGGGAAATAAGAAAAGCCGGAAGCCAGCTTTAACACAGGAGGCATTGATGCCTGCTCCACTGTGGTAATTATCAGCATATTTCATTGAGAACACAGAACGCAGAAAATAGTAATGAAACCAAAGTCTCCCCCAAATGAAAGACCCAACAGATCTCTGCATGAAGTTAATAAAAACCCGGAAGATGAATAAGAATTAAATCTACCAAATGGAAAGGGAGGCAAGTGAACTCTTCTCTCCAAGACTCCCGGATTAGTAAGCACAAGTTAGCCCTTAGGGTCCATGTTGCAGCCTGACCCTTCTACCTTTGTGGTCAGAAAAATTTGTAAGTGGTGCCAGAATGGCACGGCCATCAAGTGACTGGGAAAAATAACAAAAACCCTTTCTAGGAGAACAGTTATACCAGGGCCTCCAGGAACGGACAGAGCTGGAGTGCTAAGGTGCATGAGTTCATGTTAGAAAATCATGAAATATCTGGGCAAAAAGATTCAAGCCAGCGAGAGCCAGCAAACGTAAGCGTAAGATTCTAACAGAGATTTTGGACGTTGGAACTTATGAGATAGATGTGAAATGATTGATTTTCATATGTTTCAATAAATAAGATATTTATTGAAAATATGAGCAAGGGACAAGAAAGAATAAACTTACACAAATAAAATTTAAAAGAAGTGAAAATATTTTTTAAAAAATATTCAATATGTCGGGCATGGTGGCGCACGCCTGTAATCCCAGCACTCAGGAGGCTGAGGCAGGAGGATTGCTGTGAGTTCGAGACCAGCCTGGGCTACATAGTGAATTCCAGGTCAGTCTCAACTACGTAGTGAGACCCTGGCTCAAAAAACCGAAAAAGTAAAAAATAAAATAAAATGTAAAAAATAAAAATATTCAATAAAATAATTAAAATGTAAAACTTAGTGAGTAGATTAAAGAAAAATAGATGTGGCTGAAGAAGAGTGGTGGTGAACCCTATAGCACATGTGCCACAGTGGGGTTTTTGGTATTATTGAAAGCTCTAAAAGGTATATTTCAAATAGTAAATAAAGATAGCAACCAATTTCCGACTTTGGTTACTTAAACATGCCTATGAAACTATGTAGGATAGTCATTAAATGCAAACATATAGAGTATAGTTTCTAAAATAGTAAAGCATAATAATGGAGAGACGAGACAGATAAATAAGTCAACCAAAAAAACAATGAAAAAAATCCAAATGAAGACAATAGGACACAAAATATAAAATTTTACAACTATCAAAGATAGAAAGTAAACATCCACATGTAGAAATGAGTCCAAATATATAAGTAATTATTGAAAAATATAATCTTTTCTGCTTCAAGAAAAAAGCTGATTTACTAAGTTCTTTAAAAATCAAGCTATAAGCCACTTTAAGAGACTTTTAATACATATAGGCACAAAGTTTCTTTGGAATGTAGAAAAAGAGATATATCTGGCAAAAACAAACCAAAAGAAAACTGGTGTTGTGTTATAAATATTGTATAAAATGGATTTTGGAGCAAAGCATTTGTAGATCTAAGAAAACTAAACTTAAATTATTAAAGATTAGACAGGGGATTTAGCTCAGTGGTTCTGCCTCCTGCCTTGCAAGCACAAGGACCCAAGTTCAATTCTTGATACAGAAAAAAAAAATATTATTAAAGACTGATCAGAAATTTAAAAATTCTAATTATCTATGCATGTAATTACTTATATGAAAATTATATCATCTAAACATGGACAGCTATGCAAAGGAGAGACAAATTCCAACATAACAGAAAATGATAAGACACATCTCAGCAATAGATGGCTACACTAGCACCAAATCAGTAAACTCCATGACATTTGAGCATTGTGATTAACAAGCTTCTCCAAGAAACACGTAGACTACTACGCCCAAGAAATAAAGACTACAATTTCTTCTAGGCACACATCAAATATTTACCAAAGTTTCCAAATGCTGGGCCATAAAGAAAGCCTCAGCACATTAATGACAGGCCTCAGAAAGACTACCTTCCAGGCTCAGAGTGCAACTAAGACATCAACGAAAAAGATTTTAAAGCTTTGGAAATTTCTCCACAACATACTCTTGCAATTTGTGAGTCAACATAATCCTCAGTCATACATGCAATTGAATCTGGGAATCTTTAAAAAGATCTAACAGTGTGAATACCTTAGATTTATGCTAGAAATACAAAGTTAGTTTAACCAAAGGCAAGTCAATATCACCACAGTAATCAGTTAAGAATTAAAAGTTGGTTATAGTCATAACAGAGGTAAAAGAAGCAAGATATACGGTACAGTATCAGTTTGTAATATTGAAAAAAGCTCTTTGTAAATTAGGAATAGAACTTTTCCCTAACACAACAAAATCCTCAGAGATCATAGTGTGAATCAGAAAAAATTCAAATCACTTCACTTAAAATCTAGAAGCAGCTAAGGATACACAACTTTACCATTTAATGTTCAGTAGTGAATTGGAGATCATATACTCTGCAGTAGATCAAGAAACAATTTTTAAAA